TTAATAGAAGAAGCGATTTTCCGTTGAATTTTTTATTAGTGTTTTAGTCGCGTGTATGTTTTTTTATGGCAATCGGCGTCACCCATGGACACCTGGAACACCACAGGCGTTACAGGTGCGTTACCGGCCTTTTGGGGATTAGGAGTTTGAGACTGGTTGGCGATTCGGTGAATGGGGGGGGGGGCGTAATTGGGCAAGTTGCGCATGGATTATGTGTTATGTCACGTATACAATTTTAATTATTATTCTAATGGTGATAGAATGTAGTTTCATAACCTATTAATTTACTTGTGGTTAGTATATTCAATTGATATAATATAGGAATTCGATATCAATTTTTTATCATGCATCATGTCGGTAAAGGAGCAGACGGGTCACCTGATGGTAATCAATCGGCGTGCCCCTTGGCACCTGAAACACCAGAGGCGTAACAAGTGCGTTACCGGCCTTTTAGGGATAAGGAATTTGAGGATTTAGGGATTTGGAGTTCTTTCGGTAACCTCACTCACACGACGAAACACAACGCTACGTCAGTTTTCTGTGAAGGCGTGGTATATCACTCCGGTCGAACCAGCCCAATCGCACCGAAGCATATAAGCATAATATGACCATCTAGCATGGCTTGAAACTAGTCGAGATGCTCGTCAAACAGTTACGCGAGTAAGCCGAAAACATAAAAATTAATTAAGTATGTCTCACAAAAGTTCTCAGTAGTAGCACGGAGTCTGGAATTGTGCCCGGTATATGGCTATAGACTCACCCCCTATTACATGGGACTCATGACATAAATAGTGATAAGTGGGTAGTATATTAGAGGTATACAGTGGCATTAAGCGCCTTAATGTGCATCCTTCGGGGATAAAAGGCGAGATGTTATATTATATCTCACGACAGTTTAAATATACACATGTTATGCATGTGCTGTTCACATTACAAATTATAAATCTAAAATTACCATACTATTGATACTATCTACAACTACCCATGTGGGTATAACATATACCTGGTGTTAACAAGATTATCCACTCGCTGAGCCGACCTGACAACTCCTGGCGCGTGTGAACGCGTCGCATCTCATTACAGGTGTATATAGATAGATCGGACTATGTATTAATGTATGTACCACTTGTTTAATTTACTACTACATCTATATCTATATCTATACTAATATTATAAAGAGGCAATATTCTTTCACCAATAGAATGCTTATATTCTTCCAATTTGACATAGGCTACATTTCATTTTGACAAAAAATAGGGATCCTTGGTAAAATTTGAACAATGTAACCGAAGGTGTATAAAAATGAGTCTTAAAATGTCTTTCGTCGAATGCGCTGCCGAAACTATTAGCGATAGAACAAAATAATGTACAACAATATTGAAGAACATCATAATGTCTACAGTAGCATATGTCCAACTATTGTAGTTATGTCACTACAACAATCCAAATTTCAGAAAATAAATAATTGTCTACCTCGTGCGAAGCCGGGACGGGCTGCTAGTAGTATATAAAACTAAATCGCTTTCTACTGTCTGTCCCTATGTCTGCTTTGGAGTTGATATACATCAACAACAACATAACATCATCAGCCTATAAGTGGCCACTGCTGACCACAGGCCTCTTCTCACACTGAGAAGGTTTGAGCATTAATCACAACGCTTGCTCAATGCGGGTTGGCGATTGTTAGCTCCAGGTCAAATATTTTCTTTAATTATTTTTATAGCTAGGTATGTTGCTTTAAAAATTGTGAATAAAATTGCTTGCTATCATTTGTTAAATCTAACTCGTATCGCTTGACATGTCTCAAAGGAATTTGAAACTTAAAATAAAGATAAAAGTATATCTTTTACAATGATTAATGTCTAGTTTTTATAATTAAAATTGATTGAGCAGTGAAATAGTATCGTTTGCAATTTCCATTTGGTTTGATAAAAAAAATAATTGGAAAGATTGCTTTATTTTGGTAAGCGATTTCTCAGAACGCTTATTTATGATTTATTAAAAAAAATACTAATTTTCATAACATTATGATGTTATGAAAATTAGTATTTTGAATTTGTTAATAATATAATATTGGATATACATACTTTCACGCCTTTTATCCCTGAAAGGATAGACAGAGGTGCAAATTACGGCACTTGATGCTACTGTACAGTGTAACACCCACTTGTAACTATTTGTGTTATGAGTCCAATGTATAAGTCCCTAGCATGGTTGAAACTAGTCGAGTTTCTTGTCAAACAATTAACGTGCAGTGCAGCATTCTATACCTCAGATAGAAGTGCGCGTAAATTACAGCAGAGGGCGCGCTGAGCCCGTAACGCAGACTCGAGTAGCCAGTAGCAACGCGATAGTAGCCGCGTTGCGTCGCGAGTCGCGGAATGTCGCTGAGAAACATGTCTTTAGTATGGTTTGATACTAGTCGAGTTTACTCGTCAAATTATTACGTGAATACGCCGAAAAACAATAATTCAATCGAAAATGGTTATAATAATAAATTATTACTATTAATTACTAATGAAGATAATTAATTAATAATTATCTAAATTAATTCGGTGTACAGCTAATGATAGTTTGCATTATTAGCCCATACAAGTAAATATTGAATTTTGCCCTAAGCGGGTTCTAAATACGGGTTTAGCATTCAATACGCGTTTAACCTAACTGAATTATATTTACTTATTTACTACGCTTGATTTAAATATAATATAAAATTATGGGAACGTTTTTGTTACTATATCTTCCTACGGGTGTTGCAAGAGGCGACCAAGGGAAGTCAAAGTCAAAGTCATAGCCAAAGTCGAAGCATTTATTTAATGCTTAAGACTTTTTTTAAGGGGGGAAAATCATCAAGTGACTTCTACTGCCTGGGTGAGGCGGGAGGGAATGTCAGACTCTTACTGACTAAAAACCACCCCGTTCCTACTCATGTTCTTTGAGGCTAAGGACTCACGAAGCTATTTTCTACAGTACCCGCTCCAGCTTCATCGGCTGATGCAGCAGCGGTACGGCAGCCGCCACGGTCCCGCAGCCGCAGTTTGCGATCGCAATGGGAGGGCCGGTCTAGAACTCAACTGATTGTTTAACAAACCGTGTTCCAATAATCTACCGCCAAGTTTGTGGAGGATTATCGCAACCAAGGCGACTGCAGGACCGCAGAAATCTGCGGTTTCATGAGTTTTGAAAATAAATCTTAATTCCGCTACCGCGGGTGCGGGTGAAAATCCGTCGTGATTGCGTAGCGTATTAACTATTAAGAGACTTTTGAAACGTAAAACTGAATTGTTAGTGAAGCTTGGTGCTCGGTTCACAGTGGAGTACTACTTGAAGAGTATCTTTTTTTTTTGAGGGGGGAAAAATTGGAAAGAGGAGTAGAAACGGGGTGGTTTTTAGTCAGTAAGAGTCTGACACTCCCTCTCGCCTCACCCAGGCGGGAGCAGTCATTCGATGATTTTCCCCCCTTAAAAAACCTTTTTACGGGGATGATGATGACGGTGGACCCCAATCCGATTGCAAAGTAAACCTGTCGCAGATCTGATATTTAATCTACCTACTTAAAAAAAGAGGTTCCCAGTATGACCTAACTGTATGTATGTTTGTGCGCAAATATCTCGAGATTGACTGAAGTGATTGTTTTTCGAAGTGTTTTTTGCACTTAGGAGACGGTTTTAGTAAATTAATTTATTGAGTTCAAGAAAATTTGATTTTTAGTTGATTTTTTTAAAAGTAATTTGCTTTTAAAAAGTTTCAATGAATTTTTTAACTGACTTCAAAAAAAGAAGGTGATTTTCAGATGGACCTATTATGCATGTATGTATATTTGTGTGCGATTGTCTGAACCTAATAAAATTGGCTGAACCGATTTAATTTAAGAATATTTTAGTATATTAATTAACCAAGTTAAAAAAGACAACATTGTAGTCGGTTTTTTTAACGTAGTTTATACAACAGTAATTATTATTATCATTTGAGCAAAACTGTAAATAGATTTAGCTTAGATTAAGCATAAAATAAAATTATAATTTCTCACACTGATTCACCCACCTCGCTACTTCACACAAACACCATGCCAGAAAAACCATTTTATAGAAGAGCCTTGGAAAATTTTGGAATGTAAAAAGGGACAAAATTTATGAGGTTTAAACTAAGCTGAGTTCGCTGGTTAAATATAGCCAACTCATTAGTTCTAGCTGGTAATAAGCCAGCTGCGGTCTAGATAAGTGTGATAAAGTTTTCCTAGAATATAAAATTTCATTTCCAAAACTCGGTACCAGGTTTTTCTTGATCAATCGTCTTCGTTAATTGGATTTAAGAATTTCGGGCGACTAGTTTTTGTAATTGCCTTAGTAGTGGATTTTAGAGGGATTTTAGTTCTGTTTTTGACGCCCAAGATTGATGGTTCTTTAATATTATGAAGATGTCTTGGAAGACTAAGATTTTTATAACTGTCTGTCGTCTGGAAGTCGGACAATTTATCAATATAATTTGACTGAAACGAATTTTGTTGATTAAACTGAAATAATAAGACTTTGTGAATTTTGTTAGATTAAATGTCAAAGTAAAATTGTTGTTTTACCAATATTAACGATCGAAATTGGTATCTGTTAAAATGTTTCATGTTGTGTTTCACCACCCCCCCCCTCCCACCTCCACTGAGCTCCCTCAACGCAACGCAAGAACTTGCGAATTGCATCAAAATCTTATCTTCCCAAAGTCCTCTTTGCTTCTTTTTTCTGTATCTCCTAAGCAATAACAGAAGTGCACACTTATTTTTATGATCCATGTAACGAACTACTTATTAACTTAAAATACGTTTAGTACGGTTGACGGTAGTCGAGGTAATAGTCACCCTAGAAGACGCCTTGTCGCACAAAATCGCATCGCAGCAATTCCAATCGTAATTTTCTGCGTTGCGAATTCTCATCACATCGCAACGCAGTTTTGTGTACGAGCCCTTACATCTAGCCGAAAAAGAAAAAAAAATAAAAAATTGTACTTACAATTCCATCTCCAATATTCCTGATGACACACGGCAGTAAAGCAGTGGACCCTGTCTGTGACGTCACCACTGTATTGTTCTCAGTTCCAAAGTGCTTCTCAGGAGTGTTGCTGTATAGGTCATCAAGTGGAGGGAAGGTGACTGTCAGCTCGTTCTGATCCGGTTTCACTGATGATGAAGAGGAGGTTGGTATTGCTGATGATGGACCTGTGAACAATAATTTGTAGGTTAGAATAGATATAATATTATTTTATTAGTCTATAGTTTGCTTAGATCTTTCCTTAGATAAATCTAACCAATCGGAGTCGCTACAAGTACTTAATATCTATGCAAAAAAGTCTGCCACTTTCGTCGCGGCCGACGAAGGCACACATACAAGTAGTAATGCTGCAATAAAACAATTTGATCGCGTAGTTATTGTAACACACGCGTACAAAAAATAAAACAAACAACAACAAACATTGATTAAACGCACACACTCATATCGAGACCTCTTAGAGCCTAGTCCGAGTTCCAACTAGAGCGCTTAACCCTCTGATTGGTTAGCTGATTGGAACAGACTTATTAGGGCGTCGAACGCGGCAACGATTGGTTAGATTCTCGAAGGTAGTTTGTCGCGTGCCCATTGAAACCTCTGTCATGCAATGAACAAAATAAGTTTGGTGCCTTCGAACTAAATAATTAATTTCATCTTTAATAAAACGTTTTAATATACTGAAGATTGTCTTAGTGCACACACTAACTACACTTCGGTCGCGTACGTTTTCGTACGTCACTATTATTACTTACGTTAGACGCGGAGGCCTGACCTAACACGGCCGCATCACGTAAACTTACTAAAGAACTCGCCCTACATGAGAATTTCGAATTTACGGGTTCGGCGACGGCATTCGAAAGGGTAGGACTCGGGTTTGTGTCAGAACGGTCACGCGCGAGTCAACAAAACTCGATTATTATTAAAAATGGGGGAAATTACCTCCGCCAGTGACTACTCGACTAACCTGACTTTGGTGATGAGTTGCTCCAGCCCGTCGACGGAATCGCGACACACGCGTTTTCTAATCCTACGATCTAACAACCCGTATACAATGTCCAACTTCATTAACTCCGGTACTACGTACGATAATTTTGATAACAAAGCGCGCACTTTACATTTTACAAATACTTAAATACGTCGACCCGTTCATTGTTTTGTTCGGTAGCAAATATATCTCGGAGTATTTTATAATTGGGTCGCGGCGACGTGACCGACGACTTCACTCCTTGCCACCTGACGGCGGCCTCGCCGACCAGCAGCATCGGCAGGCCGCGCAGCGCGTGCTCGTCGCTAACGTTGGTGCAGTCACGGTAGACTTCAATGGCCTCAATAAATGCTTCGAGCTCATCCGCGTTCCTCGATGATCCGTAAAATCGCGTCGTGCATTTCGCGAAGTTTCTTGCGCGCGGCGCATGCGTGTGTGCGTCGGCGACTTCGGCGCGCGGCGGTGATGTAATCAACGGGTGTTTTGTTTCCCGCCAAAATCAGAACTCTGTTTGCTTCCACTTGACTCCTAGTGATGTTGGAGACCAGGGTATTTAACATATCCTCCGACATTGTAATATTCAGGGACGAAATCACGGTTCTGTTTATCTCGACATCTGTGTCGGTATCCGATCCCTCATCTCTTCCAGTTCTTCTCTTCGGCGGCATGATAACAGGCAATTCCAACTGTTACTCGCTCGAAGAGCACGGTTGATGTTTTTGAGATTGGTAGCTTCAACGAGTCGGTAGGTATATACCTACAGATGCAACCGGCGGCACGCGGAAAATGGACTCGCCCAAGTGCTTTCACTTATGTATTTGCACTGGTTTTACGATAGTTTTCGTGTGATTGCACTATTGGAGAGAGTTCACAATATGTGTTTGCACGATAGGAACACTAGAACTTGTTGTAACTTTGACTTTTTATGCACAGTTCGTTCGTGGCCGCAAGTTGGGCGTTACTTGAGATGTCTATTGGGTTCTCAGGGCGTGAAATCGACACAAGATTGAACTGTAAATTGTATAAGTAATAATGGAGTAAACGTTAAACTAAATATAAACAAGATTGCACGATAATACATAACTCAAATTATTCGCGGCACAAATACGGAACGCGTGCGTCACGGCTCCGGCGCGGGACTCGTTCTCTCGCTCGCGTCGCGTCCTCTCCTCGCAAGCGTCGAGCGGTCAGTGGCGGGGAAGCGGGGGAAGAGGAAGAGGAATAGTGAAGTGGCGAGTTGTCACTAGAGTTGCGCGCGTGCGTCCGACACAAATCAAAATCGGTTTACCGCGTTACAAAGTGTATTTAAATATTTATAATTATTGTAAGTATTTATTAATTTTTATAGTACGCTTATATATTTTTATTGGTATTTTGGTTTTTAGTTTTAAGTTTTCATTCAGTTATTTTTCATAGCATGTTACCTTTATACTGTGTCTCATGTTTATATTCCTTTTCTTGTTGCAGGTCTGCAGGAAGAAATCCCTTATATATATGGGATATGCAGTAGGTATGTACCTCATTCTTTTAATGTATTGTCCTCTGTAATATTGTCTGCTGTATGGTGTACCTACATAAAATGATTAATAAATAAATAAAAGGCAACGTGAAATAGGATGATTATCTCCTGTTTCATGGTTGCGTTTACTTCACATAGGTCAGTTGTTTAGTACGAACATCGAACTTATGTCACTCTAGCATCTGCCAACGACTTCCCCTGCGTTTCCCATAAAACATGACCTATATATTTTCCAAACCATAAACTAAACCTGTTCCAAATTTGATCCCTATCTCTTCAGCCGTTTTGACGTGAACGAGAAACAAAGAATCAAATATACCAACTTTTGGATTTATAATATTACTAGCTTTTACCCGCGGCTTCGCTCCCGTCACAAAAGGATAAAAAGTAGCCTATGTGATATATACCAATACACACAGCGCCATCTATACCAATACTTTTGTTTTTCCTCGGGAATATCAATTTTTCCGTGTTAAAAAGTACCCTATTATTTAATCCGGACTTCTAACTTTACGTCTGCAAAAATTCAAAGCAATCGGTTGAGTAGTTACGGCGTGAAGGTGGAACAAACAAACAAACAAACAAACTCACTTTCAGATTTATAATATTGATCGATATTGATCGACATATTTATAATATAAATATGTCGATATTTATCGATTGGATGTCGATCCAATCGATAAGTTTACCGAAAAATACTTACAACTTTAATAGAAATGAAGTTTGCAAAAATAAAGTATTTTCGTGTACTTTATTATTCTTATAAAGTATAGATTACAATTACCTTAAATAACGTACAATACTTTATTATAAAGTACGGGTGGCAACCCTAGAGCCACGGTGAACTAATCGGGTTGGTTTTTAGTCAGTAAGAGTCTGACACTCCCCCCTCCTCACCCAGGCAGGAGAAGTCATGCGAAGATTTTCACCCTTAAAAAAACATTCACTCACAGTCAGGCGTTTCTAGAACTGAAAACGTGACTTTCAGTTCGATAGTCTGTTGTACTTTTACCAACAGCCCATCATTAAATCCATTGTAACCTTTAATAAAATTGAACCTTTTTATTATTACATAATTAATTCCTTAGATACAAGAACATTGGAATTAAGGAAGACTATAATTAAATTTTGAGCAGCTAAGTGTTTGGGAAACGCTTAAAGCCGGCCAGGTGGAGTTAATGGAAATGTATTGTATTGTATTAAGACTGTTTTGTTGTCGTTTTATTGCTGTCTGGGCATGGAGTTCTGATTTCGATTCCTGAGGTAGATTCATAGGTAATTCAGTTAAAAATTGTAAATTGTCGTTGGCCGAGTAGTCGCAAATGCGACTGCCGTGCAAAAGGTTCGATTTCCGATAAGGGCAAAGTAATATTAGGTTTTAAAAAAAAAATCTCGGTGGTAACACGGAGTCTGAAATTGTGCCCGGTTTATGGCAATATGCTCACCCCCTATTATATAGGACTTATAACATAAAATAGGGAAAAGTGAGCGTTACATTGTACAGTGGCATTAAATGCCGTAATGTGCACCTGCATAAAAATGATTTAATCATTGTTAATACACAAAAAAGTGCAATTTTCAATATTTGTTAGTTGACTCAGTATACTTAGGAGCCGTCGAGTATCAGCCACTAACTAAATAAAATCAAACGACACATCACAATTACAACAATTTCCTACCAAACACAAAAAATCCCAACTTCCAAAGCACAGTCACCAAACATAAAAACAACAATGATTCCCTAACATTACAACACACTAAAAGTCTACTTCAGTTACCAGAGCCGTATACTAGACTCATATAATATATTGTCTAATTAATTTTATTAGGCCCAACTCCAAGACCAAGTTCTCCAGAGACGTCCAGACTTAATTACTTAAGACCATCAATAACCCTGTAAAAGGATCTATTTACAATGGTAACGATAAAATAGGAACGGGTCTGTTGTACCTACTTGTACAGTACAATGGTTGGTAATTACCTTTCGGTCTGAAGCTGGTTAAAAGAAAATCGTTGTAAGATTTTTATGTGATTGTTTTATAAATATGCTTCGTTTAGTTTGTTTGATGTTTTTGTCTATGTTAGATTTATTATTACACGCATGTTTTAAGACGACTGTTTCCATGAAGACCACGTAAGACTGTCATTTGCAATATCTGAGTTCTTTATTTATGGGATAAGGTGGTAAACGAGCAGACGGATCACCTGATGGTAAGCCATCGGCACCGCCCATGGACACCTGAAACACCAGTATCGTTACAAGTGCGTTACCGGTCTTTTGGGAATTACCGGGGCTCCGGCTCGAAGTGCAGAGTAGGAACGGCGTGGTTTTTAGTCAGTAAGAGTCTGACACTCCCTCTCGCCTCACCCAGGCGGGAGCAGGCATTCGATGATTTTTCACCCCTAAAAAAACCTAATCCCATACTTTTCAGAACCAACGAAAACAGAAGACCACAAACCTAAATTGCCAATTATGCTTAAAAAGACCAGGTCATACGATATTGTATGAAAAAGTCATTATGGTATACAAGCTACTAATGAAAAGACCTTTGAGCCTTCAATCTGTTTCACTCAGGACTATAAAGGTTCAGACCCTAATTTAAAAATTCACACATGACCTCTTTAAATTAAAATCGTTTTACTATAACATTTATGTCGTGTGGCAG